TATTTAAAATATTATATATATATACACACATACATATATATATATATATATATATATATAGTGTTTAAACCTTATTTTTAATGGATGCCCATATTTGAGTAGATGCTCTGTTTTAATCTATTTATCAAACAGTATATTTTTATTTATTTCCATCTATTCAAATATGGGTATCCATTAAAAATAACAATGTATAAATAATAAATTAAAATGTCGGATTAACAAATAAAAAATCCATTCATATATATATATACCAGATGTAACAGCCAAATTGTCCAAATCATGTAACATTATAATTATCCATCCTACAAAATGTTTAATATCTAAAAACCCACTAAACTAATTGATTTTCTTTTTACAAGGTTTTTAGTTAAGATGTTTACACATCTTGACACCATTTGTTGTAAGAAGCACCAAAAAACCCTTTGAGTTATTCAGCTAAAAAGAAAACAGGTTAAAATCATTTTGTGTCAACCCTGCTTTCTTCCCAACTGATCAATGATGAGAGGAAAAAGATCATTCATGCCTTCAGTAATGGTACTATCATTAATACTCTAGCTTCCATCTTCAAAGTCCATTCAAGAACCATCAAGAGAATGGTGAATAAGTTTAAAAAAGAGGGAGCAGTAGAGAAGAAAACTGGATCAGGAGGTCACAATAGCAAGAGGGGTCATCATTTCAACTTAGAGTTAAAGAGATCAATTAGAAAAGATCCAACTCAATTCATAAGATGTTTGGCATGTAAGAGAGGAGTTTCAGCTATGATAGTCCAAAAAGCAGTGAAGAAAAACTTTAAAAAATGAAATCGTACATTCTTATTGTTTAAAGTAGAATCCAATAGTGCTATAAAAACCTCGGAGAATTCCAGTAAGATATCTTTAAGATATAACAGTTCAGAATTTAATCTAACAATTAGACAATATTGCTGTTATATGATCTGAACAATTTTGCTGTTACACCTGGTATATATATATATATATATACCAGGTGTAACAGCAAAATTGTTGGAAGTGTTACCTGATGATCCAAAATCCTTTAAAAAGGATTTTGGTGAAATAAATTATTGTCATGGTACCTTAAAGTGTCTGTTGTTCATTAAATATTGGCTCTGTTCTTCACATTGAGCTCTCAGGATTTCATCCTCTTTGGAATTACCAATTCGGTTTACCAAATTCTTCATAACTTAAATATATATATATATATATATATATATATATATATATATATATATATATATATATAATATATATATTGATTCAAACACATTACCAAGTTTAATTGCTGTTTCCATCTGTTTCTTCAATATATCCTGTGACCATTACATTTTCCAACCCCTTTCCTCTCATTTATGTTTTTGTTTTTCTGAGATTTCAACAGTCTCTTTCTGATTTCAAATACAATTACCTTTTTTGTTTCCATTTTCCTTGTAGTTTCCTCACATGTTCAGTATTCTTAGCCTACTTCTGCATTATTATAACTTCTGTAGAACTACATCTCTGTTGTCTTGTCTCCTTTCATCTGTACAGAAATTGTTCAGAGTTCACTTCTATATAAGATATGACATAGCAGCAGTTCAGTAGACTTTTCTTTGTTTCTAATGAAAATGTTCCTATCTGTTAATAATTTGTTTAGTTTCTGGAAGGCATCTTTTGTTATTCTGATGTTCTTTCATATTTTTGCACCACAATTTTCATCATCTGTTACTAGAACTAGACTATTCAAATAGTTACTTTTTGTACCTGCTTCATTCTAACTTCTTCAATTCAAAACTTACACTACTGGCTGTCTCTCTTGTAGACAAGCATAAATTCTGTCTTTTTATAGATGATTGTTAGTTTTTCTACACACTTTCCTTTACTACATAGTATAAAGAAGCTCTGAAAAGTTCTCAGTCCTTCATAAAATACTGATATTTGATCATTTAATTAGATTTTGGGAAGTTCATTGGACCAAGAACATTTAAGTATATACATTGGTTCATCAGACCAAGAACATTTATGTATATACATTGACTGTCAGGGGCAGAGAAACTGTTGAACATCTTTCAGGGCATGTTGAGTAGTATGGGTATCATATGGGAAGGCATTATTCTGCTGGAACAACACATTGTCTTTTTTTTTTAAATCATTTTGTCCCAAGTAAGGAAATAAAGTCATTAAGGTGCAAGGGGTTACTGAGTATTAGAGAATATGAAAAAAATAAACTATTAAGAACAGAGGATGATGAACAAGAATTAAGAAGACAGATGGCATTTTTTGAAGATCAAACTTAACTGGAAAGCATGGAGCTGTAAGAGAGTTCCACAAGTGAGAAGTGCGATAGAAGAAACTGTTAGCATAGAACTTATGGTTATATCTAACCATTTCAGTTGTAAAATGATGAGACCTGACCATCAATCTAATAGTGTACTTAAATTAGGAAAGTTGAGGTACTATAGAGGAAAGTTCATCAGAGCAATTACCATGAAAGTATTTATAGGGAAGATACATTACAGTGGCGGGAAAGTGACTGAAGCTAAGATACTAGGCCAAGGCCAATAACATTGCAAATTCTTCATTGTATTTTATCAAGAATCTCTAAATATATAGCAGGAGCACCAGACCAGGTGTTGCAGCAATATCCAAAGCATAGACAAATGGTAGACTTATAAATATGTAATATAGATTCTGGAGTGAAAAATTGTCTAGCATGACATGGTGAACCAAATTTACAAGCAGCAGACCTTGCAATTGATTCAGTATACACTTTTCATTTCATGTCAGTACAAAATGTTAGTCTGATAAGGTGCAGTGAGTCACTCTCCTGAAGGTTAGCATCAGCCATACTGATGGAAGGCTAAAAGGGTTATCTCGGATGATTAAAAGAGAGTAGTTCTGTTTTTGAGGTATTAAAATTAACAAGTTACTCCTTGCCATATTTAAGAACAGATTGTAGGTCATGTTTTTTAGATCAGCTGCCAATCAGACTTACCATTAAGACTGAGCTGAGAAGTGATGATACCAGGAAAAGGTTAATTCATGAAAATTAGAATCAATGTAGTTCTATTGGATTGAGCCCTGTATTGCCTAAAATAAAGCAGAACAAGTTCAACAAATGTTCTAGACATACATGGTATTGTTCAGTGTTCCCTTCTAAAAAATCAAAGGGAAGTGAAAGTTAGGAATTATAGCACACCATACCATAATGCCAGAGGTTATGCTTGTTTGTTATGGACAAATACACTCTTCAATACATTGCTTCTCATATACTCTTCAAGCTATTAATCTGATTTGTATTGTGGCCTGGCATTATGTTCATTACAATGTATAAATCTTGGTGGGTGGTTGTACTTTATGGCTGTCCAGATATAGGAATTTTTATTTGACCACAGTTTTCAGTATCAAAATATTATTGATGCTTTACATCCAAAATGTACAGTAATTCTACAAGATGACCATCCAGTTTTTCAAATGTTCACAATTCGATTCTTCTCAAAGAGCTCTAATTGAATAAAAGCAGGATGTGTGTATCCCAATAGCATGACACCTGTGAGTGTGGAAATTTTTCAAATTTTTCATGATACTTAACCTTATAGTAACATCAAATTTTTAAAGTTAATAATGTTTTGGTCTAAGTACTTTCAATCACCACTAGTCATTATAAGGAGGGTTAAAGTTAACAGTTACAATAAAAACATTTTATCATTTGTGACTGATAACAACAATGTCCATAATAATGACTAATAATAGTTGAAAGAAAATCAAAACATTATGAACTTTGGATTGTTTCTCCATGAATCTATGCGACTACTTATATGCAAACTGGAAAAAAATGTAATAAAATATTAAATGGATAGACTTTACCATTCCATTTCATTAGAACATATTTGAACACACATACACACACACACACACACACACACACACACACACACACACACACACACACACACACACACTATTTTCCTCTTTATTGAAAAAATGTGAGAAATATACTGTTAGACATGTGATTATAAAATTATCCTTAAGTAATTAATTTTTTTTTACTTTTCTTCCTTTACATACAGCATAAAGCATGTCAGTAAATGAATTAAGAAAGAAAGAAAGAAAGAAAGAAAGAAAGAATGAATGAGAACTGTATTGATGGAAGTCACTAGAACAGGTCCTTGATGCAGGAAATCCAGAAGTGGTCTCACAGATGAGAAAGCCTGTAACAATTTACATTGAGAAAATCTGGGTCTATTCACCCAGGAAGTCTCAGTAAACTAACATGAAACCTAATCTTTTCTCATATGAAGTCCCTTCCTGAATGGTTGTCCAGAAGTTTAAGCCATAAATATACAAAGTCATGATAGCAAGGTTCTAGCTTTTACCAATTTGCAAAAGATGTCACAATAAACAGAACTTGATCAAAGAAAATAAGTTTGTTTTTATTGGTTCATAATTTTATGTTCTATGTTATACACCCATTGACAATTAGTTTACTTGGTGCCATATTGCTTCATGGTTTCTGTCAGGGTAATGAGTGGTTACTTGGCATTGTCCATCCCTTATCAAAGTAACATATGGCAGATTGTACTGGGCTTCATGGTACCAAGAAGAAAGAATAATCTTTGAATGAACCAATTGTGGAACATTAAAGATGGGCTGTATAATGGAGCTAAGCAGATTAAATTGCCATATTATTTATGCAATGCTGGGAGTAGAAGTTAGAAGTTAGAAGTTCATGCCTTTCCTAAGTGCATCATTGCAAAGTGAATATTTACTGCAACTTAAAAGATATACATACAGCATAGATACTGATCTAATCTTGTCCATGTTTGTTCACCAGGTTTTTCTTTTAGAAAATAAAATTTTCTTTGAGAAATTTTTAAATTTCTCAAAGAGCATTTTATTTTCTATTTTTTTGTATTTCCTACTCTGGTCCTCTTCCTAACAGTATTTATTCTCTTTTTTATTGATTTTCTGAATAGTTTTCCTCATATTTTTGCTACATTTCTTAAATCCCTTTTCAGTTATTTAGACATGGTACTTGATGTTAATGAGTCTTCTATCTCCTTTCTTTTGACATATATTCTTGTCTGTATCATGCTTAGGGTGTAAATCATGAGCATATTTTTCGATATTTTCATCACATTTTTTAGTATATTCCGCAAATCTAATTTTGTACATTATCACTCTTTTCATATCTATCTATCTATCTATCTATCTATCTATCTATCTATCTATCTATCTATCTCAGTCTTTTCCTATCTATCTATTTATCTATCTTTCTCTCAATCCATCTCTCTCTCTCTCTCTCTCGCTCTCTCTCTGTCTCTCTCTCTCTCTCTGTCTCTCTCCCTCTCTCTCTCTCTCTATATATATATATATATATATATATATATATACTGTGAAAGGATTTTTTATCCAACATTATTTTCTTATTAATATAAATGTTATTTTTAGTGAGAACATCTGTTTGAGTTGCTATTCCTGTTTTTTTTATTAAATGATGAAATTAATAACATAATAGCCAAATGGCAGAGGCACACTTTGGCTAAAAAAAAGTGGATTTCCAGATAAAACAAAATAAACAGATACAGGTTCAATTCCTATTGGAGGCCCAATTTTTCTTTAGTAGGATTTCTCAATTTAGGCTGTTTGAAATTAATTTCACTGTTTGATAAAATTAAAGAAAAACAGGGATAGCAATGTTTATAGTGATAAGATCTATCTATATAGTATATACATTTTTTAATCCTAAATCAAGAAAATGAATACAGTAAAATTGATATTTCTTTTTGAAAATATCAGTTTTAATAAACCCATTAGTCTGTTAAACAAGAAAATTAATCCAATAAAAAAAATTGGCGGTAATAAAAAGTAAATATTGGTATCAATAATACACTAAAACTTATATTGTATTATTTTTCACATTTTTAGGATTCCAAAATGTTTCTTTAATGAATCTTATTTCAAAAATAAATAAAGTATGTAAGGAATTCTAAGGGAAGGTAGGTGGCTAAATTAAAATATGAAGAGAAAATTCTGACTTTAAAATCTTTCTCTTCGTGCTTCAATTTAGTAAAAAAAATATAATAAATATCATCGATCTTATTGCCAATATTGTTAGCATTTTTTTGTTTTTTTATTACTCAAATTTTATTAACTGGCCTATTAAATCTACATAAGAAGCACATGTGGACTTCTGTCATATATATATATATATATATATATATATATATACAGAGATAAAGAGAGTAAATGCCTCATATGTCACTTATCTGATCAAAGTGGCATAAAATGATCTAGACACCCATGAAATACAAGATTCCTTAAGGAAAATTCTAGTCAAAAACACCATTCTGTATAAATCAAATTATCAAAAACATCTTGTTGAGAAAGAGGCCCTTTGTATAAAACATCTCACTCCCACTATAAACCTTGTCTTATTCAACAGTAGTAGCTGGTTGTTGAAAGTTTTTTTAAAAACAATAGAAAAACACCGTTGAATTCCATCAGCACACAATGCACAAAGTTCGGAACACTCAATCCTATTAGTATTCAAAACAGAATAAAATACATATATTTGTGCAACAACTTTTCTTTTATTTCATTGAATATCACAGGCAAGGAAAATTTAGTTAATTTTGTATTCATTTTTTCCAGCATTCTTAAATTTTTTTTCATTTGGTGGGAATAAAATATCTTACATGTTGTCCATTGCCCTTTCGGCTATTTATTCAGCCATATTCAAGGAGGTTGTTTTTAGGTAATGTTAATTTCTCCTCATGTATTTCCCACAGACTATTTAGAAAATGAATTTGGAAAATTAAAACAAAGTTCTAGAGGTACATATTTCCTTTTCTGTGAGACAATCATATAACATTACATGCTATATACAAAAGTGGCATTTTAATATTATCAGAGATTCTAGTTTCAAGGTCTGGTAAGTTATCAAATGTTTGGCATCCTATTTCATCGAGCAAATGTTCACATTTTGAGCAATTATGGCCTGGATCATAGTTGTATTCTTTGACTTCAACATTTAATTTTAATTTTTTTCAATATCAAAATTTCTCAATAACGTTTTGAACTTTTACAAAATACGCACTGCCAGAAGTTTGTCTTAATTGTCCAAATTCTTTTTTTAAATGGTCTGCAGTAAATTCACCAAGTATAACAAAATTAAACCTCCCCCCACTACTTAGCAAATATCTGCAAATATCAATTTAGCCCATTGCATGTATGTTCATTGGCTAAACTAATATCTCTTGTTAATGATTTCATTATTTTTGTTTTCTTTCCTCATATACTTTTTCTAATTTTTCCAAAATTAGAAAAATAATAAATGTTCATTTAAATCTGATATCACCTTTTTCATTGGATCATTTTTCTTAGTTTTACTATATATTTCTTTGACAGAGACAATTTTTCAAAATTTCAGCTTTTCTTAATGAAATTAACTGTGTCTTCAGTATCCTCCCCATTTAATAATGGATATGTTTTAATTGAAGCTACAGTTTGATCACAAAAAAAAAACAACCCCTAAACTTTTAAACATTGGGAAACATTTTGTCATTAACATATCCCTGATCTCTCTATTGATAAAGCTTGAGCCAAGGTAGTTCAGAATAAACCAGGAAAACTAAGAGGGTAATTTGGGGGACATGATCATGAAAATTTTAGGCTAGTCACTTCTGAGTCTCATTTCTTTTAATCATTTCACCCCAAGCAAGGTAATAAAGCCACTAAGGCATAAGGGTTACTGAGTATGAAAGAATATGAGAAAAATAAAAACATTATTAAGGATTTAATTTAAATATCTGGGAAGTGTTTTAACAGAGAATAGAAAGTGTGATACTGAAATCCAAAGATACATTGGGATAGCAAAAGTATTAAGTAACAGGAAAATTTGGTTAGAAACAAAGAGAATTGTACTAAACTGTTACGTAATATCATTTCTTCTATATGACAGTGAATGATTGACAATCTCCTCACAGATGAAGAAGAGACTTGAACCAGCAGAAATATGATTCTACAGGAGGATGCTGAGAATACCATGAACTGAACATGTAAGTAACAACAAAGATTTAGAGAAAATCGTAACAAAAAGGACCCTTGTACTTAACATCAGGAAGAGATAGCTGAACTTTCTATAGTGCATAATGAGGAAAGAGGGCTTCGAAAATTTGATACTCACAGGACAGATTGAAGGCAAGAAGGACAGAGAAAAACAACATATAAACTATCTAGTGAGCTTGTATAAATATATGGCGGAGTATAGTTTAGATAAAATGTATTAAGATCTACAAAGGATAGGAAATTGTGGAGAGCCATGATTGCCAACATCATGAAGGGACATGGTACATAGAAAAAGAAATGTCTAACCAGATTGGTTGATAAAAACCTTCATGTAGCAAAAAACACTTCTGGCAGTCATTGTATTTCTATAAATTTTGACTGCTGAATCCTTTCAGTAGTAGTTTGAAGAAAGCAACAGCATGGGTATATCATCACAAAATATTTCAGCATGACTAAAGATTAACCATTTTAAGGATTAGTTTTGTTAAACGATGAGTTGTCAACACTACGGCTGATGTTTATTTCTTAAGTGTTCCTGTTAAAAAAAAAAAAAAAAAAAATGCCAAGACAGTCAGAAGTTTTTATCTCTCTGTTTCCACTGGTCAACCTCTTTGACATCATTTCCTTCGGGTATATTTAGAAGAAACAGTTTCAACAAAAGCAACTTTTTTTTTCTATTTCTCAAAAGATATATCTGGAAAATAAAAGCATGAATGATTCAACAAATCCTGGTTCCTGACAAACACGCACACAAAGAACAATTTGTGCAATTTTATATAAATATATATATATTTAAAAATATAGCTTCAAGCACTAAAAACTACAGTTTTTTTTCTCTTCAATACATGATTAGAATGAATAATAAATACAGAGTCAGCGCTAGGGTCTCACCCCCAAAACTTTGATATAGGGGCCCTTTCTCTCCTACATGTTGATTTCAAAGTTTCCTAACTTGGTGGCCACAAACCCTCGAAGGAAAATTAGGTCGAAAGGCAGCACTATTTTTCAATTACCAAAAATCAAGGAATTATCAAATTTAAATGAAAATTTCAATACATTTTCCCCTTTTTATGCTTATATTTTACAAAAAGTTTTCATATTTTGCAATATTATTTTTTATATCTTACAAAAATTCTTGATATTGTACCATTTATTTTTATTGTAGGGTCATGGAAGCATCCTTTCTGGTGCCTCTTTCACAAATTTTTGCAACTCTTGGGAAAGGAATATCCTTTTTAACTACAGGAATATGAAGGGGATGTGGATAGTTTGCCTCTCTGTATATATGTCATAGGGGAGTATTAGGCTGTAAAAGTGTTTCATCACCTACAAGTCTGAGTAAACATTTGAAGTTAATTCTGGAAAGAGAGGATTGGGCAGCTCCAGCTCAGACATGCTAACACTTCTCCATTGTTGGTGTGATCTGACTCTTGTAGAAACAGAGTATGGCTAGTGGAGTTAGGTACTTACTGGAGTGGTACAAAGAACCAACCAACTTTCCATCATCTCTATTGAATCATACATGTGGTACAAGTAACTGACCATCTTGCCACAATTTTTAGTGATGAATCATATATGTGAATTCAAGTTGAGGTCTGAGTTTAACTTGGAACATAATAAATGTTCAAGGCAAGGAGTCTCATTGAAAATGTTCTTGAGCAGATTGTTTGCATAAAGCAGACAGAGTGGTACAAGGAACCAACCATCTTAACACTATCACTACTGATGAATCATATATATGAATTCAGCTATAGGCCTGGGGTTATTTGAATCCTAATAAATGTTCCAGGCAAGGAGTTTCATTGAAAATGTTCTTGATTGTTTGCATAAAGCAGATAGATTGGTACAAGGAACCAACCATCTTTCCATTATCTCTACTGATGAATCATATATATGAATTCAGCTATAGGCCTGGGGTTATTTGAATCCTAATAAATGTTCCAGGCAAGGAGTTTCATTGAAAATGTTCTTGATTGGCCAGATAGATTGGGTCCATTCTACTGATGAATCATATATATGAATTCAGCTATAGGCCTGGGGTTATTTGAATCCTAATAAATGTTCCAGGCAAGGAGTTTCATTGAAAATGTTCTTGATTGTTTGCATAAAGCAGATAGATTGGTACAAGGAACCAACTATCTTTCCATTATCTCTACTGATGAATCATATATATGAATTCAGCTATAGGCCTGGGGTTATTTGAATCCTAATAAATGTTCCAGGCAAGGAGTTTCATTGAAAATGTTCTTGATTGTTTGCATAAAGC